TTTCAGTTGTTTGGCTCCAAATCTACATCTCATTCATTCAACAGTTTGGGGCACACCTACTACTGTTTCCCAGACACTGCCAGTTCAAATCCATACACTCATCCCAGACTTTTCTTCTTACTCCATCAAGGTTTAGCCAAATGCCTAATGGACATGTGCATTTGGAGGAAGTTAAGAATTGCAAGACTGGCAGGGACATTATCTACAGCAAAATTGAATCATAAAACCAGTCTGTGAGCCTTGAAGGCTGCCACACAAAAAGTGGAAGAAGACTATAAGGTAGTGCAATGAGAGCGGGTTTTGGTATCAGACAAAACAGCTATGCCACACTTGCCTGCTGTGGGAATCTAGGAATAAGTATTCAACCTCCTTAACTGCCATTGGAGGCAATCCAGAATAACGAGTTATAATCATAAAAAAAATACCAGTACATAGCTCAGAGAACCATTGTTGAGAAGAAGAAACCTGTAAAATATAATGCCAACACAGTATCTGACATGAGTAGGTACTCAGGAAATGTTTCCTCCCTACATCTACCTCCTTTCTCTTCTGCAAGATTACTTGACATAAATGAAATAGCCTAACAATATAGGAGTTATAAATGTAGTAGCAAAATAAAAGATGAATATTACATTTTATCTGAGATTCAGGGCCATTTGTGTGTTGTAGAATGCGTTATCTGATGCAGGTAGAATAGGGGAAAAACAGTAATTCCTTTTACATTAAACAGCCGGTAGCAACCCTGCTTTCTTTACGCATTGAGAGTGCACATTTGGCAATGAGTGTGTGTGTATACATATCTATGTGTGTGTGTGTGTACTGTTAGATACCTTTTTGTGTGTATATGCCTTGTTTCTACAACTAGATTATAAATTCAATGATATTATCTTTTTAAATCATTTGAAGCTGCAAATGGATCTAAGCAGATACTAATGAAAAGTTAGCTTACTTATGATGCACCAATTTGCTATCTTAAATGTTAAAAAGCTCCCCATCTACACAAGAGAATAATCAACAGATGTTTTCAACTCACAATGAAATATTAATTTGATACCCCAAAATGGTCTAGTTCAGACCTAGACTGTCACAGGTAATATTGTGTTAAAGATGTAATTTATAACATGCACACTGTAATAACCAAAACATTATGCATGGCTCTTTGGGAACACACAGCCTGTTAGAGTTTGGAGATTGTTCAAAGGGTTCTCTTTTATTTCTAGCTCATTTTACATTGTTTCGATGATCACTTTAACTTCACGGAAAATGGCCATGAGTGTATTATAACTCAAATGATCAACAACTACAATTGAGCCCTTTCTGATATGCTCCTTTATGTTAATAAATATGGCCACAGCACTAACGAGATTGGCTTTTGCCTCTTTTTGGTTAAAGATGAGTTTTAATGCTGCTAATGCTTTTGTATTGATCATGTCTCTGGCTGCAGTTGGATTTTCAGACATATTCAAAAGTACTTTCAAAACAAGATTTCTGGTTTTACGATTTCCCAGGGAGAGCAAATGAAAAAGCTCTGAAAAGTAATTGGCAACAATGTGGTGATGGTTAGAATCAGTAGTCAGTTGTCCTAGTATCTTTAATCCGGATTGCTGTCCAGGTGAGTTCAAGGGAAAAGACATGGTTTCCTTACACATATGCTTAACATGTAATTCAACCTTGCGTTGTCTTTCATCCCCAGAGGGGGGATTCAGAGTAATTACAGCCTTTTTTCTCATTTCAGAGGAAGGAAAACTAAGCAAGCTTTCAATAAGTGTCACTACACCCACCTCATTAATGAACTCTTGGGCAAATGGATGAACATTAATTATCCCCATTGCAATTTGAGCTATTTTATGAATGAGAGGATCAGTAGTTGATTTAAGTAAGGTAACAAGTTTTTCAAACTCCTCAGAATCCATGTAGCATTCCATTTTGCAAGGGCAAGCAAATGGCTTAATCCCATTCACCTCCCTGATCCTGATTTGGCGTCTAATCTCCTCTATGGTCTGGATACAAGGGTCAGAACCAAATGGGTACTCAGAGACAGGCTGTGAGCTTGAGGGAGTGCTCCTAGAAGGGCATGCTGCTGTTGCCACAGGCAAAGAATGGGTATTTTCCTCAGTGGAGGCCAGGACAACATATGAAGGAGGCTTTTTCTCAAATGGGACTTGGGATCTAAAGCCTAACACTGCTGGAGTTACAGCAGGAGCTTTGGGCCAGATAGTTACCTCAGACCAGTCCTTGGGCCTATCTTTTTCATTAATTTCATCCACAGGCTGGGGCTTAATTATCCTGCTCACAGGTCTAGGGTTAGGGTCAAAACTAGTTTCATCTCCATCCCAAAACCAGCTCCCAATAACGTTCTCCTCCTCCTCCTCCTCCTCAGCCCCTGGCCTAGCCTTGCAGTTGGTCCCAGCCACAGGCTCCAAATTCTTAGCACAGGATGGGGGACAAATATCAGCTTTACCTTCATCCTTAGCACTGAAACGATTACCAGCCTCTTCTCCATTCCAGAACCAGGAACCAACACTGGCTTCTTCCTCAGCCCAAAACCAGGTATCAATACCAGTCTTATCTTTACACATAGACCTGGACTCAGCACTGGACTCAGCACTAGCCTCAGCCACAGAACAAAACCGAGATGCTCTAGTGGCCTCATCTTCAGCTTTGGGACTGAAATCTGCCAGAGCTCCTTCCTTCATCTCAGTAACAATCTTGCTCTTAGACACTGCCTTCACCTCTGCCACTGGATCTTCCTGAGTCCCTGCCTTGGCTATTGCTTTGGCCTGGGTCTTGGCTACAGATCTGACTACGCCAGTAGCCTCCCTCTTGGCTTCAGCTTGTACACCAGCCCTTTTTTCAGTTTTGGCCTTCTTTTTACTCTCATTCTTTCTACTCCTATTCTTTCTACTTGCATTCTTAACCCCAGCCATGGTTAAAGCCCAGTTATGTAGATAGTTCTATACAGTCTTGGCTTTGGTTCTCAATATGTCCCAGGTCAGTGTCTTAATATTCTTTTACTGGGTTGAAGGTGATGATCTTCTGTCACTTCAAGGCCACCACAGCCACCACTGGAGATAGGCCTGAGGTGGAAGAAGAAAATGGGCTTTGAGTCTCTTCCAACTGTGCTTTTCTATGCAGAGAGCCACACAGGACATATGACAGTAGAGATAGGTTGTGTGGTAGGAGAAGTAGAATAGTATAAAACTCTGTTACCTCATTTTATCCCTTCCACAGTCCCACTAATGCCCAACAATGCCCTGCCCAGGCACTTCCATACTCTTTTCTCTGCATCAAATAGGAACGGAGACGATGGGAAAGCTTGGTGAAAGTGAGAGAGGCTAAGGAGTGTCCAGCCCCTTTGGTATATACCACTATACTCTACAGGTCTATCTGGTAGGCCTCACACCAACCTGCACTGATCTGGTGCAATTTTCTCCTTTCTTGCTTCCAGTGTTGATAAGCCCTATAGTCGACTCACAGGCAGACCTATGGACAAAAACACAGGAGGGATTGGAATTTTAAGTATTTGATAGACAGACATGCATTCTGGCTTCTAAACCCAATACCTGCCTTTCCAAATCTAAGGCTTGTGAATATAATGTTTCTGGCCTCCTTGGTCCTCCTCATGGCTTCCTTCCCCACTTCCTAGGTATCTATCACTTACCCTATAGGCACAATCCTGGCTCACCCTAGCCCCATTTCCTATACATAAATGTGAGGGCAGAGGTGTGTGGGAAGTTGGAAGACAATGGCTCCAAGATGTGATCTGGTCTTACTTGCCAACAGCCAATTCCCATTCCCAATCAATAGGGGTGCTCATGCTCACACTCACCTTGGATGCAAATGAATAGCTTTTGTCCTCTTTCTTAATCAAATTCAAAGTGAACAGCTACCTGCAGATTTCTACAGTACTCTATAAAGGAACAAACCTATGGATAGACAAAAAGAGGAAAGAAAACAAAAGAGACTGAGATGGCCCAACACCCATGACAAGTGTTACAACATATGCTTCTGTACATTCAAGGCCATGTTAAATATCTCCCACCTGTCTTCTCCTCCCAAATGATCCCCCATCCACTCCCCAAAGACCTGCAGCTTGTCTAATCACACCTCCCAACACTAAAGTCAGTCATTTTCCTAGCAGAGGCCACACCTTCCTTGAACAAAAACATGAGGTGCAAGAATGAGTAGTGGAACACAGGCAACTGTATTTAGAAGACAGGCAGTGAACATAATGGGGACTACTATTTCAATACCATCTTGCATGCCCCTGCCTTTTCCCCTTCCCCACACATACATAGTTCCTATCTCATTTCACCACCTATGCCAGCCAGCCCACATAGCAGGTGTCCTCAGGAGATGCTACCCTTACCACTACAGAACAGTCCACTAGCTGGAGAAGAGTCACGCCCTATAGAAAGAGAAGGGGCATTCAGCAAGACACCAAGAGAGTATGTTGACAATGGTAGAAAAGTATCAGGTTAGTGAACAGATTCCCAGAATTCAGGTCCTAAAACCTCCTTTTGAAGAATCAAGGAATAAGTAAATAAATGTCTCTTAGGTCTCAGAATTTCCCAGGAACTCAACAAAATCTTCTGTGGGACTGCTTCTGCACCAAAATGAGAGGGGGCGGTGAAAGGTAGCTGGGGTTTGGGTTTCCAAAAACAGAAAATAAAGAAGCAAACTGACTTCAGGCGTTCTAAATTGACCCTTCAGAAAAATTTCCTCTCTATTCTGAAGAACCATTCTCACACCTCAACATATTAAAGTGGGCTAGGATGTTGAGAAAACAGATCCCAAATGAGAAAGATGGATTAATACATTATTTATTTACACGGATCCTTCCTGTGAAAGCCTATTGACTCTTCAACCTGCCATTTTCTTGCATTTAATTGGGTCCAAGACCTAAACATGGAAGGCAAAAAAACTGCTGTATTAAGAGGCACATAAACTTTTCATTTTGGAGTCTTCATAATCTACTCGCTCAGTTCCCCTTTCACTGAATGTGCCAGACCTACCGCGCACACAGGACACTCTGGCATCAAAGAGGCGCCTCTGGGAAGGGACAGCACCCAGCATGCGGGGTCCTACAGACCCCTTTCCAGAATCAGGGCCCGGGCGGGCGGCACCCCGCGCCCGCCCGCTCGGCACCGGGCTCTGATCGCCGCCCCAGGCGGCCTCTCCGACGCCCCCACCCAGGCTCCCCTCCGCCATTTCGCCCCCAGCAGCCTCCCCCACAGCCCTCTCCTGGCACAGGCACCGTCGACGGCGGGGCGCGGGCGCCCAGAAAGCCCGCCCCGGGGAGCGGCCGGGCCGTTCGCATCCCCAGGATCCGAGGAAAGACCTGCGGCCAAGACCTCGCGCCCCAGGACCGGTCCGCGCCGGTCGCCGCCTCCTCAGCGCCAGGGGTACCCTGGCGATGCGCACCTCTCTCAGGGACCCGCTCCGACCCGGTTGCCTCCCCCTCGTCAGACTGCCAGGGTCCGCGGGGCAGGGTGTGAGCCGCTCGTTGCCCCTGAGACACCCCCGGTTGCCTTCGCAGGCGCAGGGTCCTGATGGTCGGCCTCCCCCTCCCACCCCGCGCCCGCCCGCTCGGCACCGGGCTCTGATCGCCGCCCCAGGCGGCCTCTCCGACGCCCCCACCCAGGCTCCCCTCCGCCATTTCGCCCCCAGCAGCCTCCCCCACAGCCCTCTCCTGGCACAGGCACCGTCGACGGCGGGGCGCGGGCGCCCAGAAAGCCCGCCCCGGGGAGCGGCCGGGCCGTTCGCATCCCCAGGATCCGAGGAAAGACCTGCGGCCAAGACCTCGCGCCCCAGGACCGGTCCGCGCCGGTCGCCGCCTCCTCAGCGCCAGGGGTACCCTGGCGATGCGCACCTCTCTCAGGGACCCGCTCCGACCCGGTTGCCTCCCCCTCGTCAGACTGCCAGGGTCCGCGGGGCAGGGTGTGAGCCGCTCGTTGCCCCTGAGACACCCCCGGTTGCCTTCGCAGGCGCAGGGTCCTGATGGTCGGCCTCCCCCTCCTGTCGCAGCTCTTCACTCGGATTCCCACCGTTCGCCGTGCGGGTAGAATGGCTAAGAGGCGTCCTGCCCCCCTCGCGGCTGCGCCAAACCAGACAGGGGCTGCGAAGGCTGCGGCACCAACCGCTCGCGGCAAGGGTGTCGGGAAGGGGGCGGAGGGATACAGCACAAATGGGCTCGACGCCCCCTCCCAGGCCCACCGTAGTTCCGACCCAGAAAGGGGCGGGGCCGGGAGGAGTTCCGGCCTCAGGGGCGGGGCCACGCTGGATCTCCACCGCCCCCCATCGGGCGACCACCCTTCCCACCCCGCACCCTTCTGGCCCCGCAGCGTGTGGGGCCAGCGGGCGGTGGGCAGTGGGGGCCGGGGTTGGGAGGGTAGGGGGGGGCCGCGCTGGAGGGAGCAGCGGATGGATACAGATCGTCCCGGGGTGTGTGTGTGTGTGTGTGTGTGTGTGTGTGTGTACCGAACTGCTCGGAGTCTGCCCCCCTACCCTTTCGCATCGCGCGCGCCATCCTCCCTGGGCGCCAGTGGCAGAGGAGCTGTAAGGACGGCCCTCCCTGGGTCGGCTTTCCACCTTCTGGGGCCGCGGGCGGGAGGAAGGTGGGAGGCGGCGCCCGTGGAGGCCGAGCCACTGCCCCTCTTCTAAGGGAAGGCAGCCCTAGATAGACCTCTGGCCTGAGGAAACAAACCACCTGTCTGCGCCAGTGTCGTCATCCTCTCTGCCACACTGCCATTTTCTCAGTCGCAGTGGTAGCACACTTTGCCATTTCGCCGCCCCTGCAGTTGCCCAGGAAAGAGGGCCTTTCCCTCTCAGGACCCGCACCGGCTCAGACAGTTCTCCCTGTCTCTCATCCCATAGCCAGGTGTCAGGCACCAGGTAGGGCCGGTCCTGGCTTCTCTTCTCGGGTTCTTTCAGGTCTTCTCTTGCAGTTGCCTTCAAGTGCTCATCATCTTTGGCAGGGTGGGAATGTGGCAGGGATTAGAACCAACTGGGATCTCACGCACTTGCCATACACACCAGTCTAGTTTATCTATTAGGGCTATTAACAAATAAATTATACTTATTTTTAATTCCAAAATCTGCATTATATCTGAGTCTGGTTCTGATGATTTGTGTCCTTAAACAATGCTTTTTCTTGCCTTTATTATGTGTTATAATTTTGTGTTGCAAGCTGGATATGATGTGTTGGGTAATAGGAACTGAGGTAAATAGATCTTCAGTGAGAAGCTTTATGTTAAGCTGGTTAGCAGTTGGGCTGTGTGTAATGTTTGCTGTAGCTGCAGGTGTCAGTCTTCAAATTCCTCTAGCGTCTTTATTTTTGTCTCTCTTAACTTTGTGTTTCCCTAATTACATCTTGCAGAGAGAGTCTGCATCTTGCAACTCTTTCAGCTGCACTCCACTGTTACTACACTGGAGGCCTGTTAGCATGTGGAGGAGAGGAAGTGTTATATAATCTTCTGGTTAAATTCCAGTCTTTTGTGGGCCTGTCTCTAGACTGTGACCTTCACAAGTGTTTCTTTAGCATCTTTCTCCCCTTTACAGGAGAATGGAAGGCTAGAGTGTGCAGGATGGGAGGAATGCCTTTCCCTCAGCTGGGATAAGGCTCTGGGAAAGCCTTTTCCGTTGGAGATTAGGCCTTTGTTATGGAGAATACTCGGGGGTGTATTTATTTATCTTTTTTTTTTTTTTTTTTTGCTGACCGCGGGCCTCTCACTGTTGTGGCCTCTCCCGTTGTGGAGCACAGGCTCCGGATGCGCAGGCTCAGCGGCCATGGCTCACGGGCTCAGCTGTTCCGCGGCATGTGGGATCTTCCCGGACCAGGGCAGGAACCCGCGTCCCCTGCATCGGCAGGCGGACTCTCAACCACTGCACCACCAGGGAAGCCCAGGGGTGTATTTATTGAGTGTACACTTCCCCTCCCACTGCCAGAGCCCTGAGGAGATCTTTCTGGAATATTCACTATGAGAACCTGCTGGAGTTCCTGAAGGTAAAGGCCACAACACTGCTAAGACTGCAGGGCCCTAGGGGTTTCTCAGTCTCCTGCTATTCCACCCTCAGTCTCTATCAATTTGTCAAAATTCCCACTTAAGTGTTCTTACCTGTTTATGTCTCTAGCAGTTTCTGCTCTATGTAAAGAGATATAGGCTGTGACTCTCTGGGTGTCTTTTCTCCGGAATTTGGGGTGGTCATTTTCCCTGTGACCTCAGTTCTCTGATGGGTCTAAGATAAGTCACTGATTCTCAGTTTGTTCAGCTTTTTTTCTTGTAAGTACAGGAACAGTGACTTCTAAGCTCTTTATATGTCAGAACTGAAACTGGAAGTGTGTCCTATGGATTTTAACAGGATAACTAAAGACCAATGAACACAGCTTTCATCCTCTTCTTTTCAGCTGAGCTTCAGATCTGGGAATAAAGTTGCCCTTGGAAGCCTAGCTGCTCCATAAATATCTGCTCTTTTCCCTCCCAGGTATAGAAAATTTACGTGACTCCCTGAACCTGGCATCTCAGCCCCCAAATTCTTAACGTGGAGTGCAGATTATAATTCAGACTTCCTGAATCAAAGTTCCTGGCGGTGAGGTCTGAGCAACTGTGACTTAACCCCAGTAGAAAAGTCATCTCTGTTACCACCACCACCACCATGAAGCGGCAGTGCACTATACTACTAGGTGCTTGCTTAGACTAGAGTTACCAGTTTCTGATCGCTGGAAGCACTTTCTAAAAGGAGGCTGCATGGTAGAGTACAGACTTTCTCCCCTGGGCTCTACTCTGGGACTTAGCCAGACTTCAGAGCCAGGCAGTCCAAAGTTTAAATAGAGATTTTACCACTAACTATTTGTGTCACTTTGGAAAAGGTACTTAATGTTTTTATAACTCAGTTAAGTCATCCCTCAAAGGGGATTGGTAATAACTACTTCCCAGGATTCTTGTACACACTAACTGAGAAACTATCTGATATTCTGAAATATCTGCAAGTATCAGGTCTTTCTAGTTCCTCTTAAAATTGTGATCTACTCATATTATGGGGTGGGCTGGGGAAAGCAGTAAGAGTAGATGAAGTAAGTCAGAAAGAGAAAACCAAATACCATATGCTAACACATATATATGGAATCTAAAAAAGAAATGGTCATGAAGAACCTAGGGGCAAGATGGGAATAAAGACGCAGACCTACTAGAGAATGGAAGTGAGGATATGGGGAGGGGGAAGGGTAAGCTGGGACGAAGTGAGAGAGTGGCATGGACATATATACACTACCAAATGTAAAACAGATAGCTAGTGGGAAGCAGCCGCATAGCACAGGGAGATCAGCTCGGTGCCTGGTGACCACCTAGAGGGGTGCGATGGGGAGGGTGGGAGTGAGGGAGACGCAAGAGGGAAGAGATATGGGGACATATGTATATGTATAACTGATTCACTTTGTTATAAAGCAGAAACTAACACACTATTGGAAAGCAATTATACTCCAATAAAGATGTTAAAAAAAAAGAGTAGATGCGATCTCCACGGTGGCTTTTAGAGGTCATGATTGCTAAGACATCGCCGCTGTGCTCTTTCTTACTGTAACCTTGGTGCTTTGTATATTCTGTGTTGCTTAACATAACCCTTTACTAAAAGAACATCACCTTTACATAAGTATGCCTCCCTCCTCCTGGTAGTGATGTGCCACAGGGAGGCTGATCCAAATTCCAGAGGTGAGTCTGCTTGGTCTAAGGATAATTCATCCCCTTGGTACTCTGGTTCAGGAATGGCTGGTGATGTAACTCTGCTCAATGAGACATGAAGAAGAGAAGATTGCAGAAGGATTTCTGAGGAAAGTGTCCTCACTCATAAGACAAAGCCATCAGTAAAGGTATCTCCTTTTCTTCCTTGGAAAGTTGCTTGACTCCTTGCAGCCATCAAGTTTCCAGCCTTAGCATAGAAGTTGATATTATGAATGGCAGAAGAAAGAGATGGATAAAAGCTGAGTCCTTAGCTGAATCAAACAATCACCAAGGCTTCTCTGCCTCAGTACTTCTGATCTGTGGATAATAAATTTCCTTATTAAGTTAGTTTTAGTTGAATTCCTTGTTATATGGAACAATCCTAAATGTTATGTATGCTCAGGCACAAAACAATGCTTCAGTGAGTAACAGTTCCTGACTTTTTTCTGTCGGTAAGCCCTACCTCTTAAAAACAGTGGCAGAACTCATATTTCCACGTGAAAGGAAAACTGTAGATTCTGAACATCTTGCCTAATGATTGCTAGAGGTCTGACAACTGTGATTGGCTTCTGTTTTAGATTGAAAAGGAAGGCTTCAGGCAGAAAACCTAAACCTTACTTATCTAGGGGGTTCAGAGGTACATTAAATACGTGAGCTTATAGATAAGCCTAGTTTCAATTCAGAGAGTCATTGTGTGGAAGTGCACCCATGTGAAATATCCATAGTGTAAAGATATCAAAGGTTATCTGCTTTCTATCCTGAGGACTGTACTGAGGTTGAGAAAGATAAATTCATAGTGTCAACAGCCAGAAAGTTTTGGTTAACTTTCCCCAGGTGCACTGTACTAACTAACACAGGTATAGAAAGAGGTGGATATTTGGGATTTATCAAGAGCTGAGATTTTGCCAGGACAGTGGAGCCAGGGGCTAGAGGATGAGGTAGGTGAGTAGTAAAAATGATGGCCCATGATGGACTATTAAGTTGGGAAGGAAGGAAAATCCGGAGTATGCTGATTCACAGGTAGAAGGGGATAAGGGGCAGGGAGTCTAGCAACACTCAGGTTCAAGTTTCTTTATGATGAATAAAGTACTTTGCTACAAGCTGTAAGGAGGAGAAAATCTGATGATGAAGATAGTCATGGTGATGATGGCAGCATTTAGTGATAATTAGCACTAGAAGGATATATTGGGCTGGCAAAAAAGTTTGAACGAACTTTTTGGCCAACCCAATAGATGTAGTGTAGTGGCAACACATGCCAGCTCCAGATTCAAACTACAAAGGTTTG